CATCAGAGCTCCGATTAGAGCACTTTATTCTGCTTGTTTGCCGTGTTCCCTGTGATCTGTAGTAAACAGAACTTCTTATGCCATTCTTTCAATAATAACTTTTTTTTTATATGCCATTCATCAATTAAAAAACAAATTGGACAAGTGCACACAGAAAACAATATTCTACAGGCTAAGCTGTGGATCTCTGAGGCTCCTCTAGAGATAGCATGGGCATTTTGGTCGTATTTCAAACCCACAATGAACTGACTCAAGGGCCCCGATTCACTGATGCATTATGTGTAACATAAACATCGTAAACGGCATACTTTATGTTGCTCTATAACTGCATATCAAGTTTTTAATTATAGTGTCAAAACATATGTGTAGTAGTTAAAAAGTCTTCATACTTCTCCAAAAGACCCCTTGGCTGAGAACCGCAAGAGATCTTAAGGCATGCTTTATTACCATCATGTCACTATATTATAATGTGTTCCCATTTCTTTGCACAAATGTATAAAAAAAAAAACAGCTTAATGCACATAAACAATGTGTATTAATGCTAAAAAGGTGCTCTCTTCGTCCTCTGACGTGGGGCTGGCTCGGAGCTCGTCTGCCTACCTGTGTTTTTCCTAGACGGGGCCGCCTGTGAAGCTGGTTTAACCCTTTAAAGCCTGATCCAAGAATAAAACAAAACAGAAAATTACTTTTTTTTTTGTTTGAATTCCTTATTTGNTTTATTCTGCTTGTTTGCCGTGTTCCCTGTGATCTGTAGTAAACAGAACTTCTTATGCCATTCTTTCAATAATAACTTTTTTTTTATATGCCATTCATCAATTAAAAAACAAATTGGACAAGTGCACACAGAAAACAATATTCTACAGGCTAAGCTGTGGATCTCTGAGGCTCCTCTAGAGATAGCATGGGCATTTTGGTCGTATTTCAAACCCACAATGAACTGACTCAAGGGCCCCGATTCACTGATGCATTATGTGTAACATCAACATCGTAAATGGCATACTTTATGTTGCTCTATAACTGCATATCAAGTTTTTAATTATAGTGTCAAAACATGTGTAGTAGTTAAAAAAGGTCTTCATACTTCTCCAAAGGACCCCTTGGCTGAGAACCGCAAGGGATCTTAAGGCATGCTTTATTACCATCCTGTCACTTTATTATAATGTGTTCCCATTTCTTTGCACAAATGTATAAAAAAAAAAAAACAGCTTAATGCACATTGTTTATGTGCATTAATGCAAAAAAGATGCTCTCTTCGTCCTCTGACGTGGGGCTGGCTCGGAGCTCGTCTGCCTACCTGTGTGTTTCCTGGACGGGACCGCCTGTGAAGCTGGTTAACAGTTGCCTTTTGTATCTCTGCTATTTTTTCTTTGTCTGCTTCTGTCTCCTTGAACCCCAGTCAGCCTCGGTAGATGGCCACTCACACTAAATCTGGTTCTGCTGGAGATTTAAAAGGGAGTTTTTCCTCTCCACTGTCACTACAAGCATGTTTGGTGTGAGGGATTGCCTTTGAGTCAATGAGTCGATAAGCCAGCAATCAGCTGGTTTTCCTTAGGTAGAAAACTTTGAATCAAATTGACTGTATGATCTGGTGAACTGTAAAGTGCCTTGTTGTGAATTGGCACCATATGCATAAACTGAATTTAACTGCATAAATTAGCACAGTATTAGGGGACTTACAATATGAGTCTTGCACTTACTAACCTGATGTCTTTAGTGGATTCTGAACTTTTTTGTGTGGTTCTGTTCGGCCTCACGCTTCTTTTGTCTGTCTTGATTACTCCAAGTTTAAACCAAACTCTGAGACAAACAGTGATGGTTTGAAGAAAAATGGCTGGACTTTGAGTGACATAAAAAGTCCAGAAAGCTTATAATGACCACTTTAATATCATCAATCTGTTTCAGGTGTCATACTTATGGGAGGAGATATCCTGGCTTCAGCAGTGTCTCAGTGCCTCGCAGTCATCATGTTCATGTACTCTGCAGACCCGTCTAAAGATGCTGCAGGCAGTCTCCCAGCTACAGGTACTGTAGCATGATGGTTTGATAATGAAGTATTGATTGCTATCTTTTGATATGTTTTACTTAGTGGTGTTTTTTTTTTTTTTTTCGTTCAGGGAATGCTGGGCACACAGGACCTTGGCCAGGTGTATTTTGAGCCCATCAAAGACAAGCATGGCAATGCCCTGCTGGTCCTCCTGAAGGACATGAGCACCTGCCCCAACCTGGATGGAGTACGCTGGACACAACTTTGTAAACTCCAGCTTCAGCGCAAGTCCATCTCCTCCCCGGAGGAGCCAACCGCCTTGGACATGCTACTTATCACACTTCATGTGAGTTACAGAAAGAAGGTCTTGCACCTCTTATTGGAAGTCAGATTAACGTCTGAGGCAGGTATTTTTAGGCTTGCATCAGAGCTTCTTTAGCAGCAAGTAACAATTTGACAGCGGTGGTTCTTGATTAAAAAGCTTCATTCTTTTCTGGGGTTTTTTTCCCCTTTAATTGAAATATGGTATGATAAAAGGGTGCAGGAGAAGATATTCAGCCAACACCAAAATGCTCCCCAAAATACAGTGCCTCAGATGTATTTCATGTTGGAAAACCGAGCCTGTTGTAACACACGAGTATTAGATCTGTGACCTAAACAGTTTGTCCAATTAGAATTACTGACACTCATTGAGACAAAAATTAATCGTCTTTGTGAGAAACAGATTTGCACAGACTAAGATGAATTGATATGTAAAAGGTCAGGTCAGATATGAAGAACATATCTGGTGATCATGAGTGCTCAATATTTTACGCACATTTGTTTGTTTTATGACAAGATTGGATATTCTTTTGATTTTCACATTATCTTCCCTCTGTTGTAACTGAGAGAGAACCAATGTTTTGTTCACTAAAGGAACAGCGTAGAAGTGAATCACAAGTAGGTTTTCATCCAGAGGCGAGGGAGCCTGATTCCATTGTTTCTATGCTGCCCTTGTCTCCAGCCTGCGTTGGTTTCCAGGACAATAGTGGAGATTCTTCTGGCGAAACTGCAGTTCACTAAAGTTGGAATTGTTGCTGGAGGTCATGAACATGATGAGGCTTGCATAAAATAACCATCTGATGGATTATTTCCAGTCCTGACTTCAACTTTAAATATGAACATGTATAGACAGGATGGTCTCATAAACTACTGTAAGTTTAGAGGAATGGTTAACTGAATGCCGTTGTGTTCTCTCTTTTTCCCCCCAGGAGAAGCTGGCTTATCACAGACGCAGCAGAAAGCTCTTGTCTCCAGGCTTATACCTGGGCTACCTGAAACTTTGCACATCGGTGGAACAAATCAGGGTGCTGGTGCCCCAGAAACTCCCCAACGTTCTCTGTCACACCAAAATACGGGACAACAGCAATGTGTCCAGGTGGGAGAACCTTTGAAACTTTGACTTGTGTACTACATTAGCCAGTTAAATAACAGAGATCTAACTACCCTGGAATAACCTTCCATCTGGGACGTCTAGAGAGGAGTGGCAGTGGCTGCAGGCTCTCAGTTCTCTGGACGAAGCACTGGAAATGGACCAGGATGTGCAGAGTGCACCACATCGCCTCTTAAATGACCTGCGCAGTGCCATCAAAGACCTAATGGCACACATCAATGTCCCTGGAAACCAGGTGAGAATGAGGCTGGTGGTGAAATAAATGGTTTTCCAACAGACAATAACAGCACAGGTCTCACAAAACCAATCAACCCCCATTACAAATAACTGCAGAATCAAAAAGTGCTTCAATGCAATAATGCTACAAAAAAAAAACACACACAATGTTGTTTTTCTTCCCAAGGTAATTTTCGTTTTTTTGCAATTTTCCCTTAATCAGCTGGTCTTTTGTTTTAAATAGTGTTTAGCCTTGTATTTTAAAACATTTATTTTAACAAGATTTATGCAAATTTGCACAAAATATCTGGTCTTCATTGAAAAACAATGGTTATAAGCAACAAATGTATTATTAGCAAAGTCTTCCACTCAAATGGGAGCTCCTTGGTTACGGCTCACATGGTTATGATCCAATGAGGAGAAGGAACTTTGGAGTTAAGCTGTCTGGCAGCAGTAGTCTGGAGATCTAACAAACCTATACATGTCGTCATATTTTATGTTAAAAAATCAGTGCAATTTTTTTCTAGCGATAATTTAAAAATAATAAAAATAGAGATCTCTACAGTATTTTTAAACACTTTAAACTACCATTAAACATGAGATGTTTATAGGGAGAATATAATACTGATAAAAAGCTGTGGTTCCTTTGCAGACACACAGCAAAAGCAAGTTATTAATTAGCCACTCATTTTTCTTTGGCATTTCTTAACAAAGAAATTGGGGACAAATATGAAGATGTCGTTGGTTTATTAGACATAAAATAAAATATCAAAAATGTATAAGCTCTCCTATTTAAAGTTGACAGACATACAAGTTTTAATTAGAATTTGCTGACAAAGGTTTTCACTGTGAATTTTCCTGATCTTATTCAAACTATGGATCCAAAGAGTGTCAGAAGGCATTTAAATATATTTTCTTGACGATGGGAAACCTTTTAAAGCAGTTATAGAATAATCAAAACAACTTATGTAAAAACTCTTTTCACTTAAAGTGATAAAAAAAAAAACTAAAATCTAAACACATAAAGTTATCCTTTAGACGTATTGCTCTATCCAAGGAAGCTAATGCTGTAAGGAGTGAAATCCACTTTGTATAAAATGTAAGTTTATAAATGCTTCCACAGATTTCTGTGCTACTATAAGAATATACTGATGTATCAAATGTAAATTTGAAAGTGTGCCTCAGTTTTACTGAGCAGATATCAATTTAGGATTACCTGCATTTGCCCAGGCTCAGGATTTCCGGATCTACAGCCAGGAAGTGTTGGAATTTGGAGAGAAGGTGTCCTTCGTGCTCCTCCTGCCGCCTTCAGATGAAGTTTGCACAGCTCCTGGTCAGAATAATCCATACTCCCCTCGCTCTGGCTTCCTCACTCTGCCCCTCCAGATCTTTGAACTGGGTCAGTGTTTTAAGACTTATCCAAATTCACTAACAGGCCCTTTTTTCAGGCTCATGTTTTCCTGTATTTATTAACAGCGTATTTACCTCTATTCACAGTACACTTTAATGCATATTGGCCCAGTTTCATTGGGCAGTACTGCAGAGTGTCGGCTCTCCTGGAGCTGGAATCCCTCATGTCGCAGCAGGCTCTGCGAGAGGCCTTCTCTGAGGCTGAGCTCCTTGTCGCTAAGAAGAAACACCAACAGGTTCAGGAGCACATGCAGGTATCATCACTGGCTGCATCGAGGTGTATTTTTGAGAATTTAAAACCCATTTAAACTGCTTAATGTTATTTCTAAAAGAGATATAAACTTTTACAACCTTTCCATAGCAAATGGAGGAGATGTGGCGAGATGCAAGGTGGATTATGGATGCCTTGCAGTATGCCCGCTACAAGCAGCCAACAGGAGGCATCTCCATCAGCTGGATAATAGACTTTTCTAAAGAGGTTTTGCCAGACAAGCCTCCCTCCACCTCCTCCCAGCCAGACTTCATGCCCTCCCCCATGCCCTCACCAGAACCTTGCCGCAAACACTCAGGTCAGATACACTATAACAACACTAAAATGTGCTTTAAAAAATCATTCATCCCATTTAAACGTATTTACCTTTTTGTTATGATAGAAACCTGATGCTACCAGGTTTTATGTGACAGATGGTATTGAATAATTGTGAGTTTGTTTTTCATTAAGGAGGTAATCTAACTTTCACAGATTAGTAACTCTGTTGCATTGCCTGAAATGTGAAGCAGCGCGTTACTCCACCCTGATCATTTAGTGAGTTTTCATCAACACACTCTCTCTGCAGTGGGAGATATTTATACTTTAGGCAGGGCAGAGATGAGCATGGAGCTTAGATGGAGGCAAAGGTAACGCCGTCTGGCTAAGGAGCCGTAAGGTGGGTGGATGTTCAGCATGCATTGAATACAGAAGAGAGAGGATTGGACAGAGCCACTGATTCAATGACACTGTTCCTAGAAAAAAGGACTCAATGAAGCTAAATGTTTCTGTGATTCGCTCGTCGTAAACTCCTAACATCCTCTCAACACTGACTGACACCTGCTGCCTTTAATCAACACCATCAACTTCTTTAAATTCTCAGGGCTGTACTGATTTTACTTGCAGGGTTTACTTTTTTCCACACAAAAATGCTGGGATCATACCGTCCTGCTAGGGATGTTTTCTAGAATAGTGTAATGCTGTTTAATTCAATTGCAAATTACGTCTTATTTTTGTCAACCTGCTTAAAGTAGGCATTATTTTTCAGTTTTATATATATTTTATAACAGGTTAAAAGCTGTCAACAAGCAAAAATATAAAGTTGTAAAACATCCTATTGTTCTTTTTTGTATAAAAAAAATCGACACTTTTATATAACAACTTACGCGTAGTCCTTTTATTTATTTTATTCATTAATTTATCAAAAATTGTTAATATTCCATAACTGGCCCTCTAGTCATCTTTAGAGTTCCAATAAAAAGAACGTTACCCAAATTCTTTGGCATTTTAGGTCACAAAAAGTAACTCCATAGTTACTTTGGCTAGTAACAAGGTCTAGAAGCACAAGATTTATATCCATCCATTCAGCAAAGGTACTGATACATGGCTGTACTTCTTATTTTGGCATTTTATCAATTAAATGAGCCCTTGAATGATAAATTACCTACTGTAAATTAAGTTAAAAAAAAAAGTACACAAGTCAAGAAAAAAGGTAAAAAGCTCATTAAAAGTTAAAAAATTATTTTAAAAAGTTAATAAGCCAAGTTAACAATTATATTTACGTGTTTAAACTAAACAATGTAAGTGCGAGTGTCAGCATTATTGCCTCTAAGGTTATATTGTTCCCAAAAAATTGTGTTTTTTCACTCTCAGAGTGTTTTTCATGAATTTCTTATAGAAGCACTTTTGTTATTTTTTATATATATATATATATATAAATGGGCAAGTTGGAGTTTCTTGTTATTACATTGACATACATTTTTGCCATCAAAATATTCATACTTTTTCAAGTTACAATAAGGTCATGTCCTGGATTCCAGTAACACTATTGGCTTGGAAGTTTTATTTTCAAAGTATTTCACTGAGTGCCCCATAAAGGGTTAAGAGAACAAACTGCATTATGAAGACAAGGGAGCACAACATAGAGCTTAGGGAGAAGGTTGTAGTAAATATTAAAACAGGGTTAGTTTCTAAAACAATTTCCCAAGTTGAACATCTCATGGAAGTTTTGTCCGATCTTTAATCTGAACATGGAGAGAGAACGGACCAACTGCAGACATACCAGGACATTGACATCCACATAAACTGACAGGTTAGACAAGGAGTGCATTTATCAGAGAAGCAGCAAAGAGGCCAATGGTAGCTCTGGAGGAGCTGCAGAGATTCACAGCTCAGGTGGAAGAAACTGTTGACAGGAAAACTATAATTCGAGGGCCCTTCAGGTGTACCTTTTTCGGAGGAGTAGAAAGAAGAAAGCCATTGTTGAAAGGAGGCTTTTTGAAGTACTGTTTGTTGTGTAACCTAAACCAGGTAGAGGACCAAAAAAATGCTGTCATTAAAATAGGAGAAGCACAGAAAGATATTAACAAGCATGAAGTTTAGTTCTGTGCCACAGTTTTATCTCTCTGAGGACATCATCCCTACAGTTAAAAATGATAGTGGAAGTATTATAATGAGTTTATGTTTTTTCTTCAGCGGACATATTCTCTATGCTTCTGTTGGAGGCTCTTGTCTTCTGAGCTATCTGTGGTGGGAAACTAAAGATGGTCGCAGGATAATGTCGTGAAGATGCTTTTCTTTAATAGGGACCATGATGCTAAAATTGATGGTGCTAAATAAAGCCCAGCCTGGAACAAAATCCTTTGAGAGGCTGTGAAATGCTAAGACTTGGGGAGAGATTCACCTTCCATCAGAGCGATGATCCTAACATACAAACAGAGCTCCAATGGAAGATTAAAATCAAAGTATATTCATCGATCAGTCAAGTCAACTGAGAGAAAAAGATGAAAATATTTTGTCTCTAGATGTTTAAATCCATAGCACATGTATCCCAAAGGCTACTAGCTTTAAGGCTGTTTCTGTAATGTACTGGCTGGGAGAAGTTAAAGACAATAAAATAAAATACTACTCCTTGAACACCATGGATCCTTTTTATTCCTTTTCACCGTTAATTCAGTAATGATTATTGCACCCAGTAAAAAAACATGTATAAAGTTTATGATTGTCACTAGTTTAGAGTTCCGATTCGCCAAGTTATGCTTCAATTGTCTAATTGTGTCCATCAGATTACCCTGGTCTATCAGATGAAGAGGGTTCCTCCGAAGTCTTCCTCACCACTGACAGTGACTATGACTCCAGCCGTGCACAGAGTCCCCGTGAGCTGGACCTGCTCCCTCCCTCACCTTTATCCTCCACAGCCCCCCTGGAGCCTCGTGGTTTCCTGCGTAGCGATGGGAGCGGCTCTGGAGGAGTTCTGTGTCCCAGTGGAGGTGGGCGTGGAGGAGGAGCTCTAAGAGATTCTACGCCGGACGTCCTCCAGGCCTCCGAACCTCAGTTGGGGAGGGAAAGTGAGCGATGTGGAGGAGGAGGCAGAGCAGTTCGGTGTGGTGGAGAAAGGCGGAGGGGACCTCCAGAGCTTTTTGACAGTGACTTCATCCTGCCTAGCAGACAAATCGAGCTCCTGCACATCACAGAGAAGAGGCAGGCATTCTGTGTCAGAACCAGCAGCCTGGAGTTCCCTTCCACCACATCAATCCACAATCAGCCTTACTCTGACTACTCCCACTACTCTTCACCCTCCACCTCACCACAGAGTAGATGGCACCGCCCTTCGTCAGTGGATCGATGTCCCGGGGAGCGCTGCGTACTGCAACTTCCACCAGCACGGACGTTGTCAGAGGACAGCGGCACTCAAAAACTCAACTCACCATCACCTGCTGCATTCAGGATAGGCTGTCATGCAACACTCAGAGTCTACCCACAGTATCGAACAGGCCTGCCAAAGGAGACGAGTGTTAAGGTACCAATGCATGTATAAAGTTTCAGTTTAACTCTCTCGCTCAGTCACAACTGTTTCGTTTTCATTAAAAACGTCTTTGTTTGTGATTATAACTTAGAATTTCAATGTTTTTTTTAAAGTCCTAGCGAAGTCATATTTAAATGTCAAATCATTCTGGTTTAAACATGTATATAAATTTACTCTTTATCAGACGATATTGTCCCAAAAGTTAGAAAATTTCTATAAAAAAAAAAAATCCTGTCTTAAAATCGATGTTTGTTCTTTTTTGTTATCTTATGCAGGCCAGTTAGTTTTATGTCAGCTTAGACACCTAAATTCGGCCAATCACATACCAATGGTCTTCTGTCAATCAAATTTTTCGGTCATATGTCGCAGCTAATATACGCAACGGTTGAAATAAGAAAAAAAAATCATTTACTTTACCATTAAGTTCCATCCCAGTATTTACGGGGATGGACGTCTGTGTCTTCGGATAGAGCTAACAGAACTGGCAGCATCACGAGGCAATGGCTCAAACATGTATGGCTGTAAACCTTCTACACCAAACAAAGCTTACACTGCCCTGGCGTCCTCTTCCACTGCAACGTTATCCCCGCTTTCCTCCTCTAAATAAAAAATATAATAATAATAATAATAATAATACATTTTATTTGTATTGCACTTTACATTTTAAAAAAAATCTCAAAGTGCTAGACGGAGGAGACTCATCCATGACCTCCGACACAAAACTCTCCTCCTCCTGCATGTTTCTGCTATCCATAGCGTTCCTTGACAGTGTCGTTGATAAATGCTATTTGGTCCCAATGTAATTTCCCATTGGGAACCTACTAGCACTAAGTTGCTAACTGGTTAGCAAGATGCTTCCGACAAACCTTCTGCCACAACCAACGACCAATGACATTCACTTTACTCACTCGTGTAAAGTCGGGCACCACTCGGGAGAATTCAGAAATGCAACGGTTGGAACAGCTGTTCCCTACGACTTTAACAACTTTAGATTATTTCCTATTTGGCTTATTATTTTACTTTCTTCCTCTCAAATGAATTAAGATTTCTTGGGATCCTGAAGTGATGTAATAAAAATGTTAATATTACTTCTTGTAATAATAACAGTAGTATAAATAATAACATTTGTATTAAGGGTTAAACTGGTACCATGCAGCATTTTTTTCCTGTTTTATTTTGCTTGTCTGTTTACCTTTTAAAATTCACCTTTTTGTGAGGCATGACAGTCTGAGACATGGATTGCTTTAAGTCCAAACACTTGTAGTCAGACAAAATGGGCAAATCAAGGTTTTTTTGCCCAAAATGCATCAATTTTTCCTTCAAATTATTTAGTTTTTCTAAAAAGAGCCATGAAGCTTTTGAAAGGATGGCTTTTTTATGTTTCTCTTCTCCTGCTGTACAATCTTTTGTTACATTCCTAATCGTTTGTTGTTTGTGATTGTCAGCTGAACGTTGCCTCCTCTTCCTCCTATTTTTCAGCTTTGTGTAACTTTGGGCACAACGGCTCGGGAGATGATCCAGCTGGTGGTCCAGGAGATGAACACAATCTCACGGCGCCTGCTGGGCAGCAATGGAGGTGGTGAGGAGCAGGAGAAATGTGTTTACTACGGTCCTGAGCAGTTGAAGCACTTTGGACTTGTGCTGGTGGTGGACAACAGAGAGAAGTGGCTTCAGGATGACTTCTGTCCCCTGGAGCTGCAGAACCCCTGGCTGAGAGGCAAACTCTGCGTTCGCATTAAAGACTATTCACCACTCGCACTCAAACACAGTCGGGCCACGACAGTGTGACCCATCTATGCTCGTATCCGGATTTGCATTTCCTAAACCTGCAATTAAATCACAAAAATCCGTTTTCTTTGTCACTGTAATAATACATAGACTGCAAATTGTAATATATATATTTTTTTCCTCCTGAAATGAACATTTGTACAAAATGTGTTTCCCTATTTAAGAGGTTTTTTCTGTAAACATCAGACCCTCATATGGACACCAAATGAACACGTTTTTTTTAGTGCTGTCAGAAATCTTTCAGCAAAATCTTGTGACACTTAGCATGGGTAAGAGTCTGTCTGGGACTTTTGGCATGGCTGACACCAGCACTTTGGGCTGCGAGTGTTTCCAAAATGACACAGGCTCCATTATCGTCACTATCCTCCCCAGACGCACACAGAAAGGGCTTTTCATTGAGCTCTCTGTATGTTCTAATTCCCAAAGAGCTTTCCCGCCAAGCACCCGGCCTGTTTTAAAGAACTCTCACTGTTTGAGAAAGCATTGGCCTGTAGACTGTTCACAGACACTCGGTTGGTGTAGCTAAAACAGATCATATCAAACCAGCTATTTGTCCAAATAGGGGAAAAAAAGGAGCAATACTTTGTATGCTGTTGTTTCAAACTGACAAGGGAAGGCTATAAACTTTCATTTTCTGTCCTTTAGGTGCGGCTGGTCATTTTGACCCCTCGCCGTTTCCTTTCTTTGTAGTATTCTGAAGTAGTGTATGAAATGGAGCAGCAGGCAAATTTCATCCTTTCTGTGCATTAGATGGTAGCCACCAGGAGGACATTTCATACTTGCCTACCAGTTATCTAAAAGACTTTTCAATAATTTGGCAAACATGTTGGATCAAAATGGACGCCAAAGTAGGGAAGTGGGGGAATTGGTACTGTACTTCACCAAAAGCTAACAAACTCAGAGGTTTTGTTTCACTTCACTTTTCTTGTTAAGGGGGTTATGGCACTAGTGGCTCGTTTTTTGTACAGTGAGCTGACCGGAAAGGGGGGTATGGGAGAGGGGGAGAGACATGCGGCAAAGGACCTCAGGTTGGATTCAAGCCACATCAAGGATCGAGGGTCTCAGTACATGGGTCCTAAGCCGGGCATACACTGTGCGATTTATTTAAATCGTTGCACGCAGCTACAGCTCATACAGTACGACAAGACCGCAGGGTTTCGTCATTCAGTGTGAGTTCACAGTTCACAATGTATGTTCTCACACTGTGCAGCACGACGCTCTGATGCAATCTACTGGCTCACACTGTATGTCTAAAAACCACGCCGGACTCAGCTCACAGTGAGATGGCGCTACTCGGACTCGTCTATCCAAATCAATAGAAGAGGAATATGAAGCTCACTAGAGTGAACCGCGTTGCCTTGGCAGTTTGTGCAATTTTGTGCTGAAAGCCCTAAAAAGAAAAGGTGACGACGTATTTGGACAAAGACATGGCTGAGCAAACGTGGCTACTACAGTCTGTCAATGTTACAGCAAGAACTCCATTTCACTCGTACCCCCATCATGCAGGAAGAATCCTTGTTTGCGAATGCCCACTGAGCGATTTGCCCACGACTACACTAAATGACGCACAACGCCCGACCAAGCTAAAAGTCGGACCAATTGGAAAATTCTTGTATGACAGGAAGGTTGCCCTGAAAAGGACAAAAAAAATCGCACAGTGTTAGCCCGGCTTTTCACACACTCATATCAAGTCTCATCAGATCCATCATCCGATAATGAAAACTGCTAAAGGGGTAGACCTTATGAAAACTTAAAATTTTTGAAGTGAAGTTCTATTAAAAGCTTATAAGCCGTTGACTTCTCAACTGCCATGGCTAACTAAGTGTTCTCAATTAGTATAGATTCAAGCTAGGAGGATAAAGACAACACCTAACCTAAATGGGGACGGGAACAAATGGGACGTCTGCTGTCTCCAGTCTCAGTCTCAAAAAGGAGGTACATTCAATCACCAGTTTATGAGCCTTTAAAAAAATGGGTAGGTAGGAGGCGGTGGACCATTAACAATCTTTTCATGAAAAACACTCAGGGCCTGATCTTCATAGATTGCAAATAAGGTGGGCTAAATTTCTTATGCAGTAAACAATTGTATGTCTATTTAAAGGGCATGCTGCAGTTGATCTACAATTGTGTGTGCATCATAGTGCACAGTGGTTAAAACCTTTTCTGAATGTCCTTTTAAAGTAATGTATGTTTGGGAACAGTTGGAAACAGTTCAGTTTCGAACTGTTGTTTAAATAAAACAGTTGTGAATATTATCAACAATGCACTTTATGTATTAGTATCTTGAAGCACTACAACGAAAAGGTCAAAAAGATAAAACTTCATGAAATTCAATTGTAAAATATAGCAAAACTGAAGAAAATTTAGGAAAAATGTATTAATTTATTGATTTTATTTTTACATTATGTTTTGTTACATTAATTGTCTGCAGTCCCGCTGCATAAACCTTTGCCATGCAGATCACTACTACTATTACTATTCTAATATTGTTTATTCTGCCATTTCTGCTATCATACAGACACTCTCTCCGTCTGTCATTTCCTTAATGCCTTCTACATGGCAGCAGTGATTACAGAAATGTTTGCATGCGAGTTTGCACCTGACTTTCAAGCATGCTAAATATAGAAGCAACAACTTTGCTTGCAGTCTGTTCCTGGTTTGATATATCGCTTTGCGGGTGGTAGGGAATTACATTGGCATATTTCCCTTCCCACAATGTCATATTTAAGTTTCGTTCATCAATATATGTTCTGCATGTTCATGAAGGCAAACATGAAGAAAAGTTTGGAACTGCTGTTCCATTTATTTCAGAAATGCAGTTTAATTAGCACACGTTTGGTCGATCAGCTTTGCGCATGCTATCAAGTTTACATGTGTTTATACACAAACTTCTTGGAGATCAGGCTCTGAGGCTGGAATATTGGAGGTCTAATTCTTTCTGTATAGCAACAGGATTATCTTTTCCATATCAGTACAAATTACAAATATAAAAAACAGATCAGACTGGGACAAAAAAAGGCTAAATCAGAATCTTAGTTCATCCCTCAAACACAAGCTCTGAGGAAAATGGAAAATAAAGTTCATATGAAATCTTTGAAGCCAAGTAATTTATTTCAAGACTTTTAAAGAGTGTGCTACCATGGGTGCTAATAGTTGGGACGATGCTTTATCTCTCTGGTTCTTTGTTAATCCATATGGTTTTACTGCAGGTTATGGCAAAACCTGACTGGAGCGCCAGAAAAAACTAGAGAATTAAATCATTTTTTCAATAAAACAATATAAACTACAGATGCCTCATACAAATATGCCCTTTTATCCTTCCAAAGGTTAATGTTAAAATTCAGATTATATAGAGCGTTTAAATAACTCAGCTATGGAAATTGGTGTCTATATTTCAGAAATTATGATGAGATATATGACTTGGTATGTTGAAGATTAAAAAACAAAAATGAATTAGAGTTCTGGCTAATTTCAAATATCTTTTTGCTCCTAAATGAGGCGACTTAACGATGCCAACATTCAACCCTTAGCTAAATTCATATATTTTAAAGCCCATAATATTATGTTACAGTACATTTCTCATTGCTTTATGTCGGGATCTTCAAGGGGAAAACTTTAGTCATTTATTTTCCATTAGTTATTTTGCACCATGTAAAATATTTTATTACTGTAAAATTCTAACCTGCAGGGTCAGCAGAATTTCCTACTGTAAATAAAAGAGTACAATGTAGCATTAAGGTTTAAAAGAAGAGTTGGAGAAAAAATAGAGGACCTTGCCTCTGTTAGTGTAGCAAAAGTTGAATCTTTTCCAGGGACTTTGACAGAGTTATCTCACACTGTTTACAGAGCTGTCTTTTCCTACACATTTACAGACATGTTTTACATGTAAACTGCTGTATAAAGATGTTCTAATAAGTTGTAACTGGTTTTACTGATGGCTTGAGCTCTCGTGTTACCGCCTAGATGTTCTCTTCATGTTTAAAGTTGTTTTTTTTTGTTTTTGTTCTTTTTTTACGATGGCCATCTGCAAAAACAAATTGCTCGGCCACAAACTGAAACGTGTGTTTAGATAGAGAAGATCAGGGAATGAATGTATATCTGCCCTAAATGTGAAATGTAGTACAAATGGGTGTGTTGGAGGGCTGTAACCACTAAGGATGTCAAAGGTCAATTACATTTTAGGTTTTTGAGATTTGGCTTGGATGATGGAGAAAAAAAAAGAGGTGTCAATTCCTTTTTAGTCTCCTAAGGTCCTGTGTTTACAAGGAACTGTTGGTGGATCCATCAGGCAACGTCATGAAGGAGACATCACGTCACTTTTTTTAGAATTTATTTTTATGGAACAATAAATGAATATAACAAAATAAAAGCCCTTGTTTGTTTATTTTTTTGTGCTTTGTTTTTTCTTTTTAAGAGATGTTAAGAGCGTAGGAACTTCTGGTTAGCAGTAATATCTTTTATGGGTTATTACATCTAACCTCTAAGTACAAATTAACTGAAGCATACTGTCTCTGTCGGAAAGCTGAACATTTATCCCATCATCTTGAAAGAGTGAAAGCGGCAAAAATTTGAACTGAGTATGCATTAGATTTTTATCTAATTGAGAGATGCTTTACATGTTCCATTAATTCATCTGATAATGATCAAACTGACATATAGATGACTGTTTTTGCCTAAAGCAGTGACCTCATATCAATTTGCCACCCAGTTGATGAAAGCTGGATGGTGAGCAGCTGTAGAACGAATCCCACGCTCTTTTTGGGCTTGGCTGCTCAAAGTCAGTCACCAAGGATGAACAATGGTGTAAGTATTTACCACCCTGGCTGAAGCTGCATTTTCACTGTCACTTTTGTAACTGATTTCAACGTGATTGAAAAATTAGTACTTTACGTCAGATCTTGGAATCTCGTTTGTCAGCTGCAGAATGGTGATTTATAAACTTCAGATTCTCAGTTCTTAAGGACAAAAAATAATAGGGCTATATCTCTTATTAAGCTCCAAAAAGAGTTGAAGTAATGTCCAAATATGAGTCTGTTTAAAAAAAGCTCAAACTGATGTTTTTCAACATCTACTGTGATGAGGAGGGGGGGGTGATGGGTGCTGTTGGGTGCAAGGTGGGAGCGGTTGGAGGTACGCCTGGTGTTGAGCTGTGGCTCTGATGATGGTACTGCTAGTGCCGATGTACTGTTTGCCAATATAAAAGGTTCTGTATATATATTTGAGTGTGTGTGTATGTATATATGTATATATTTTATATATATAGAGAGATGGATTTTGTATATACATATACAATATATATTTTTTTATATGTATATATATATATTTTTATTTATTTTTTTGTCTGTGTGAATATGGGATAACAAAGATAAGTTTAACAGGAAAGTTACTCTAAGTTGATTTAAGTGCAATTAAAGGGAAAGGGGGTATGAAAAATAAGTTTTCAGTCTTCATACCCCT